ATACATACATACACACATATATATACATATATATATAGAGAGAGAGAGAAATGCAGACAACTGTGCTAAGTATAATAAAAATGAGAACATGCTAGAAGAATATAGAGGAATCTTATTTAGAGCTTGAGGTAAGGTAAAGTTAGGGAAAACCTTACAAGAGATAATTATTTTTGATGATGTTGAAGTTTCCTTCTCATTCAAAGTCTGTGATTCTATTATGTCTTACCATAGAGACAAAAACTTAGAAAATGAGAAGTTCTCTTTAAATTTAAAATAGTACACCTGCTATAGTTTTTTTTATATTTTAAAGGATCATTGATGGTATGTCATAGTTTCTAACAGATGCAAACTTCCTGAAATTACAATCATGTATCTAGATTCTTGCAAGGACTTTTAAAGTGTTTTCCATTAACAATAAAATTCTTCATAGTATGGAAGTTTTGAAGTACAAAATGTGTAGAGAAACTGCTTCAGAAAAATCATTTGAATTTTCCAGTTAAATAGATATATTGAAAAGTTGACCAATGAAATGAAGGAGGCTGGAAATTTGGAAGGAATACTGCTTACTGGCCTTACTAAAGATGGAGTGGACTTAATGGAGAGTTATGTGGACAGAACTGGAGATGTCCAAACAGCAAGTTACTGCATGTTACAGGTTAGTTCATGTGGCAGCAGCTTAAAGAAAAAATAGCTTAACCACTTTCTGTAATTTTTTCCCCTTATTGAATGGGTTCTTTCTAAGACATTTAACTTTGGATCTTTAGAAGGCATTGAGGATCTTTATAATAGACATTTAACTTTTACCTACTCACTTGACCTCCAGAGGACTTTTGCTCTATGGTAGTTGTTTTGGGTTAATTGGTTTTTTTCTTTCCCTTTGAGAAATGTCAGTCTTGAATTTATGTAAAGTTCAAGTAGAGCTGAGAAACCTCTCTTCATTTTCCCCAGTTGACAGAATTACATATTCTGTTGAAGGGATTCTCTTTTTCTGACCATAATTACTATTTTACTTGAATTACAGAAGATAAGTTCCATCACAACTCTTTTAGAAATTTTCATTTTTCCCTTTTTTATTATTAATGGGCATGACTTGAAATCCATTCATCTGTTTTCTGTCTTTATCAAGTGGTTAAAACAGATTCCTGGCCTAGGGTACTGTTCTACTTTACTTTTGTTAGAAATAGAGTGAAAATTCATTAGAGTTTTTCCCTGAGATTTCCTAGAGCTGGCCAGATAATTTTATCCTTTCATGATGTGCTCTTTCCTGTCCTCATTTTTCCGTAGGATATATTGGAATTTTTTGTTCTGGGTAAACATAATATAATGCCCCCTTCTCATCTTACTGTCTTTTGAACAAATAATACTGGCTCACAAACTGCAATGTAAACTTGCTCTTTGCTATCAGGTCATTGTCCATGGAAGAAAAGGTGCTTTTCTATAACATAATGCAGCATTTTTCTAACTTTAATTAGATTGCATCCATTAAATCAAATTTTATTGCTGAAATAAGATTATATTTGCTAAATCAAAGTTATATGACTCCAGATTGCAAATAGATTGGTGACCTCTTAACCATATTTATAAAATATATTTAAAATGCAGGCAGTTGGGCCCTCCCTGGTGGTGCAGTGGATTAAAGTGCAGCTTATGAAGCTCTCCAAATACACTTCAGTGCAAGTTCGATCCCCGCCCCGGAGGTGACCCACATGGCTGGCAGACCTCTCCTGCCTTGCCCGCTGCTCCCCTCAGCAGTGTACATTGTCACTTTGCCTGTTCTGTTCCCCACTCTGTCTCTGGTGAATCCTCTCACCCTCCACACCTCTGGCCTGTACCCCAGTTCTGTATGAATAAATAAATCTTTTAAAAAATAATAAAAAAGTAAAATGCAGGTAGTAAATAATTAATCTTGCTTTTAAAAAAATCCAGTTTTAATTATAACAATTCCATTTATTTTGTAAGGGCAAGGTTAAATCTACCACCTTGCTAATTGTTGTCCACTTTGTTTTTCCTTTTTGTTTCACTTTTCCTTTTCTGCCTTCTTTTGGGCTAAAAGAATATTATATCAGAATTTTACTTTTTTTTTTCTATTGATTTTTTTTGGAAGTAGAAAACTAAATTTATTTACTGAAGTAGCAATAAATATAATTCACAAGTATAGGTTCATGCATCTTCAGATGTATGTTGTCATACATTACACTCACCAACAGAGTACCCATTATCTTTCTTAAAAAAAATGTGTATGCTAGGTTTAACAGTACACATCCACAATTCAATATTATACATCTATAATTCATCATTCAGCCTTTTACTTCCTCATTCTTCTTATATGATGACAGAATGTTTCCCATTTCAGTCTTTCCCTTTCTCAATTCACACTTGATGCTGCTTTTCACTCCATACTTCACAAATGTTAACAACTATGTAATTCTATTTATGTATTCCCTTCTTCTTGTCATGTATTTTATTTCTAAGTGTTAGAAGTTCTAACTTACAGTGTTACTGTTTTGCTTTGACTAGAAAATTGCCTTTTATGTAAAATATGAGATGAAAAAAAGGTTTGCTCACTTGTTTTACTTACCCCTTCCTGGTACTGACTACTCTAATAGCAGTCCCAAATTTCTCTTTTGGCTTTTCTCTTTAACATTTCTTACAGTACAGATCTAACAGGGACAGATTCTCAGCCTAATTTTAACTAAAATTCACTCTTGTTTTTCTTTGAATACATTAAAGATAATAATTTCATAGGCTTCCAGTAGTTCTGATGAGAAGTCAGTTACTCTGATCCTTTCCTATGTAATTACTTGTTTTTACGTGAGTTAGTTGCTTTCTTTTTTATTTTCAGCATTTTAACTTTGATACCTAATTGTGATTGTTTTTATTCTGCTTATGCTCTCTTAAGCTCTTACATGTACAAGTCAGTATTTTTCATCAGGTTTGAGAATTTTTCAGGGGATATTTCTTTGTTATTTATTTATTTTGCTTTATCTCATTCTTTTTTCCTTCTTGGACTCTTACTCTCATATATACTAAACCATTTGATATTCTCTCACCAATTCCAGAGGTTCTGTTCATTTTTCTTCTCTTTTCTCGTTGGAAAATTCTGTTGATTTATTTATTGAATTTTCTGCCACCTATCTGGTATTATATTTTACAGGGAATTTTTAATTTCACTTGTGATTTTTAATTCTTTGCAGATTTTGTCAAAGCTTGATTTTAGGTTTTATTGTGGCAGATCTAGAGAAGATCAACTTCTTTCTTAGTTTATTCTTACTACTATATTATGGTAAAGAGTGCGTTATGAAAATGTATTTTTCTCTCAATTTTCTTTTCAAATCCGGCATTATAGTTTAGTACTTAGTTCTTGATAATTGGTCATAAGTAACACTCTAATAGATGTCTGTTTTTTAAAGAAATTGTCAATGAAGAGTTCTTCACATATGCTTGTAGATAAGTTAAGTGGTTATTAAAATTAATGCTTAATTCATAAGCTAAAGATAATGTTCTTTCTGTTTTGAGGAAATGTCTAAAGATTGTCTTTATTTAGGAGAACCTTAAAATATACATAAAGACTGTTAGCTATTTCTTCCCTCTTTTCAGTTTGATGCATGTTGATTTCTCTCTAACATTTTGCTTTTCTACCTGGTCCCCAAATGCAACTGGGAAAATTGGACTTGAAATTGATGCTCATATCATCCATTGGAGTTAGAGATTTTCGCTGCTTTCTTCATCATAGGAAGTTAAGATGTATATCCTGGATATGGCTGAAAGCATTCTATTAAAGCCCACAAGCATACATGAAATGTGCAGTGCCACCAGTCACTTTACGATATGCCTTACTGGAAAGAAATATAAGTTCTTAGTGAGAAGAAATCTAAAGTAAAATTAAGGAAAATAAGATGTTGCTTTTCTCTGTGACCCAGGGTTAAAAGAACTAAGAACATTTTGGTTTTGATTCTTTTTATTCTAAAATGTTTTTAAATGTTTGGGTAATAAATATGTTTTCATTAAGGGGAAGAGAGAGAATAGTTGGTTTTAATTTTCATATAATGTATCTATACCAATAGTCTCTCAATTTGTAGTGCATTGTTAGTTGTAAAGAAACCAAGTTCAGTATTTTTTTAAATGTGATTGAGTAATTTTGCTGTGCATTTGGATTAGATAATAAACAGGTCAGTGAACCTATGGGTTTTAATTATTGATACAAAAAGTATTTGTATCACATTGATGTGTATTCAACCAGGAATATGAGTTGTTTACTTTTGGCTCCCTAAGCTTAAATAAGAGTGTTATGATTCTCTGGAGGTATAATGATACATGTATTACATAATTATGTTATGAGTAGACACCAGAATGAAATAAATTAATGGCCATTTCATCAAGTATTTTATCTATATTTATTAGGAGCTAACTTTTGGCAAAAAGAATGCCTTATTTTTTCAAATGTATACTCAACAATTTACTCTTAATTCTCTGATTGAGCTAAGACATTTTAAACAATTGAAATAATTCGTGTTTTCTTTTTAGGGTTCCCCTTTAGATGTTCTTAAAGATGAGAGAGTTCAGTACTGGATTGAGAATTACAGAAATTTATTAGATGCCTGGAGGTTTTGGCACAAACGGGCTGAATTTGATATTCACAGGAGTAAATTGGATCCAAGTTCCAAGCCTTTAGCGCAGGTTAGTACACTGTTTTTGAAATCAAATTGTATTATGTACTATTAATACAGTTTAGAAAAATGAAGTATATGTATGTTAGATAGGATAAATTTAGAATTAAGTTTAATGAATTTTTATTAGCTCATTCATGTACTTTATATTGCATTTCCATTGATAACCTCTATGATCCTAGACTGTACTTAGTGCCTGACTTTCCTTTTTTTTGGTCCTGTCATTTCCTAAGAATCATATTAGTGGCTTGAGCTTTAGTTTGGGATAAGGCATGATGCAAAAGACTAGAACACCTTAGTCAAACCTCAGTCAAATCTAAACTTGTTTGAGGTTTTCTAGTACATTACAGACCCTCTCAGAATCTAAACTATATAATAATTTAATCTATGGATTTTTCTGCATGTTTTTATATGTAATATAGCAGCATTTGCTTTTTTCTTTTATAGTATATACATCTAGTTACAGATGGAATTTTTTTTTCTTACAGCATTAGTTTAAAAACCAGAAGATCACTTATCATAAGACACATGAGATCACTGTATCTTAGTTCAGACATTAACTAGCAGGTATATTCTCAATGTGAGCACTGGATGGTGCTGTTTTCTTTTTTTAGAAAATACATTGTACTCGAAACAACTAAAGTATCAGTAAAACAGCATCATATAATATTTGTTACTGGCCTATGTATATGATAGCTGTTTAAGAGCATAGGAGTTCAATGTAAAAATAAAATCAGTAGTTTCTGTTGTTTTTATTCTAAAGTTTTAACTATTTAGCATTATTTTATCCTTATGTTTCTTTTTGTGTCAGGACACGAATATATTCTTTACAAGAAAATTTTGTTCAGGAGATAATATCACTGATTTCGAATTTGAAATCATATTGAGGTATTTTGTAATTTCCCAGTGTGAATTCTGGGGATCTAATTATTCAGAGTTTTCTGTATATAGCAGTGGCACAAGGAGTAATATAACACATAACTAAATAAAGGTAACACAGACGAAGTACTTGAAATAATGTAACTGAGAAATAGACATTATAAATGAGAGCTAGTCACACTTGGCAGATAAAGTGAAATTTTGTGATATAAAGTTTAAAAATCTTAAAAAGTAACTTCTTAAGCTCAAACTTTGAGTTTTTGATAATTCCATTATGAATTTTATTTATTCCTTCTTTCACTGTCTTATAGGTGTTTGTGAGTTGCAATTTCTGCGGTAAATCTATCTCCTACAGCTGTTCAACTGTGCCTCACCAGGGCAGAGGTTTTAGTCAGTATGGTGTCAGTGGCTCACCAACCAAATCTAAAGTCACAAGTTGCCCTGGCTGTCGAAAACCCCTTCCACGGTGTGCACTTTGCCTCATTAATATGGGAACACCTGTTTCTAGCTGTCCTGGTATGACATTTTATGATATACTTTTCTTTTAAAATTTGGTATATTGAAATATTTGAAAATTTTGAGGAATCCTTTATAGGTTTTAGACCAAGAGTAAAAACATAAACTAAAGAGATTGATAAATATGGTAAGTATGAAGAGTATAAAGGAACATGTTCATCAATACAATAAAGGCCTAAGAAGTGGATTCACAGGAAGTAGTGCAGGAAAATTGAGGGAACCTAAATATATAATATTTAAAGCCATTGCTGAGCTGAGTAATTATCAGATAAGCATATTCTTATTGTTAGATAAAATTAGAAGAATATGAGTCATAAAATAAAATTTGACCTTATGGGAATCAAATACTTGTTCATGGCTATTTTAAGGTTTTGATATACCACCACTTTTGGTGCTTTGCCTGTAATTAAAGATTGCATCCAGCCATTATGCTTCCTGGTTCAAATGGCCAGGCTTTCTATAAGCTCGTTTAACTGAGATTTGCATATATTTATTCTCAGAATACATTCAATATTGGAAATTCATTGAACTGTTCTAATAGGCTTTGTAGTTATAAATATTTATTATTATTTGTAAAGGTATAATGTATTTATAAGTACATGTACAATTATATATACATTTATAATTTAGAAAGTCTAATTATACATAACTAAATTATCAAGTTGTAAACATTATTTAGTACCTCTTTCTTTATGTGCTGGAATGCATTTTTTAAAGTTAGAATATAAACTGGTTTCCTTCTTACTTTTGTTATTGTCAAAACTAAAGCTAATGTTTCCCTAAACTCTCTGTAATACCTTTGCAATACACTAAATTTTTTTTTTTTTTTTAAGATTTATTTATTTGTGCATACAGAGCTGGGGTACAGGCCAGAGGGTCAGGGGTGGTGAGAGGCTTCACCAGAGTCAGAGTGGGGAGCAGAACAGGCAGATCTACGAAGTACACTGCTGAGGGGAGCAGCGGGCGGGCCAGGAGAGGTCTGCCACGCCATGTGGTCTCCTCCGGGGCAGGCGGGAATCGAACTCATGCGGAAGTGGTTTTAGCTTCTCAATGCTGTGCTTTAACCCGTTGCGCCACCAGGGAGGGCCACACTAAATTTTTTTAATTAAAAATTAATCTTTAATCTTTAAGGTAAAGTTTAGTATTTTATCCTAAAAAAAAAAATCCTTTTTACTTGGCAGTGAGGGAGACATTAACGTTGCCAAGTTCTTCAGAGAAACATAACTATTAATTTGTTCAGAATTCAGTTTGTTTTCTGTGCATTAGAATTTACAGATTGACCTCCAGTTTTCCTTTTCATGTCTTTGATTGTTAGCATTTGTACAAGCCACATGAAGTACATTGTGAAATTTCCTCTCTTCCCAGTCTTTGCAAAAGTTTAGAAATAGGAAAGTTACCTGTCCCTTCAATGTTTGGTAGAATATACCTGCAAAGTAGGTCTGTTATTTTTTTTTTGTGGGGAGATTTTAAGCCGCTGGTTTCTTCTCTAAAGGTTTTAATTAAGTTTGCTTTAAGTGTGTTGATAATTTATTTTTTATTTTATATTTTATTTGATAATTTATTTTTTAATTTTATATTTTTTATTTGCTACTAAAAAAAGGAAATTCTTACATTTACTCATTATTTTTTCAATTAAAGTAGATCCTAGCAATAAACTTGTTAGTTCAATATGTGATTTGTGTTTTGATATAGTTTATAAATATATACTATTAAAGACTTATTTATGTGTGCATCCAGTAACTGTTGTGTAGGCCAGAGGTGAGGGAGTTGAGAAGATTCACCAGAGACAGAGTGGGGAACAGACGTAAATACACTGCTGAAGGGAGCATGGGTGAGACACAGAGGTCTGTTGTACCATGTGAGTCTGCTCTCTGAATAGGGCTTGATCCTTTGCTGCTGTGGCTGTGGATAACTACATAGTGCTGAACTTTAACCCCTTGTGCCAGGAAGGCCCTAGTTTTAGAAATATCTTTTGAGAAGCTTGTTATAAGATATTGTGATGTAATGAAGACAATTATTTTCTTTAACCCGTAGGAGGAACCAAATCAGATGAAAAAGTAGACTTGAGCAAGGACAAAAAATTAGCCCAGTTTAACAACTGGTTTACATGGTGTCACAACTGCAGGCATGGTGGGCATGCTGGACATATGCTTAGTTGGTTCAGGTAATCAGCACATTCCTTTTTTAATAGACTTGGTGTTCGAGGAGATAAATAGATGGCCTATTCAATAGCTCAGGGTTTTGTAGACAGAGGGTGAATTTTTTCTTCATAATTAATTGAGTTAACAAATGTACTAACATTTCTATCTTTAATATCTTATGTAATTTTAAGCTACAAATTGTATTTTACAAAGAATAGTTAAATGTTACATATAGGTTAATGTTTGAAAAGTTTTATTTAACTTTATTTTTTTGAGGAAAGGATATATTTACCTCTTTTTCTTTTTAAACAACTATCCTATATAACTGATCCTTGAATAGTACTGGGATTGGAGTGCTGACCCTTGCACAGTTAAAGTTTGCATATAACTTTTGATCCCCCCTAAATTTAGTTACAGTTATCCTTTGGTATCCTCAGAGGATCACTTTTAGGACAATCTCCCCAGTTCCAAAGTCCGGGATATTCAAGTCATCTACTTTCAACCCTCTTCATCTTCAGGTTCTAACATCTGTGGTTGTTGAATCCTAGAATGCAGAATCCAAAGACAGAGAAGTAATTCTCTTTTTAAGTGTGGACACATGCAGTTCAAACCCATGTTGTTTGAGGGTCAACTATATAGTATACATTATGTAAATTATAGCCTACCTATAAAACTAGTACATTAGCTATCTCCTAAATAGGCTTGTTTTGTAACTTAAGTAAGCATTTCATGCAATGGAGAGTCTAAAGACTATAACTTTTTACTTTGAATTGTGTCAGTGACTCTATGCTCCATGTGGCCATTATTTTTATATGTGGGCTTTAACTTATACTGTGAGCACATCTTGTCACCATCATATCTGTGAATGAATAAGATATCTTGTTACATATTTAGAAAGTAAAGCTTTTCATTTTTCAGGTTCCCTTTTCCCCCAAGTCCAGTTTGGCAGTCATTTCTAATTTAATGCCTTTTGTATTTGGGTGTTAATTTATGTATTTTTTTTCAAATGACATGTTGGTTAATTGTATTAGAGATATGGATGTAATTGTATTACATCTTTACAATTGTAATTGGATTATAGCTATAGATAATGTACATATGTATGCATAATTTAGATTTTTAACTGTTACTTTACCTGTTTTCAGGGACCACGCAGAGTGTCCTGTGTCTGCTTGTACATGTAAATGTATGCAGTTGGATACAACAGGGAATATGGTACCTGCAGAGACTATTCAGCCATAAAATGTTACACTTAAAAAGAAACTTTCAAGTGTGGAGCTTTCTAATAGATGTCCTTCATAGTTCAAAAACATACCTCAGAACAAGTCACTCATGACTTAACTGTAATGGGAAAATAAATCATTCTATCAAATCAGCAATTTGATGTTTGAGTGAATTTGATGTGCTTCACAGAGACAAGTGCTGCTGAAATGAGCATCAGAATGTGGGCATGAGTTCTACTCAGCTGAAAAGTTTGTTTTGGAAGACTTTCTTGGGTTTTGTTGAAATTATGAATATTGTGCAAGCAGAATTTCTGGAAACAAGAAAAGACCTTGAACCTGTATCTTCCAAGCTGAAACTGGATATCTTTCAATAAAAACTGTATACTTTTAAAATAGAATAAAGTGACTGGCTCAGTGATTCAGATGATAGCTTAAGACTATTCTATGTTTAGATCCCTTTCAGATGATATTTAAACCATGGAATTTTACTTTGCGTATCACCCTATGTGACATTGAAGATTACATTTTACCAATGTATGATTGATACATATTTTTAAAGAGCCTTTTTCTTCATACACTTCTATTTTAAGAATAAATCTTTTGGCATAGACCATAATTGTCTTCCTATAAAAGCCAAAATTGAGATTGTATCTTACAGATTTTTCTCTTCTGGAGAGAAAAATAGTATTATTTTAGGAGAACATGTTAGAAAATTCTCAGTGTCAACCTTTGCTTTCTTATGTCATGATTTGGCTTCAAATATTTTTTCCCCTATTTATTCATCCTCTTACAGTTACCTGAGACATTTTATTGAACACAAAGTCTATGCAAGATTAAACGTGACCAATCATTCAACCTAATTTATGTCAGAGTGTCCTACTGTGAAATATCCTCCTTTTTTGAAATTCTACTTTTTTCCAAGTAGACTGAGATGCTGGAAGAATAGAGATGACTTTGGGTACAATTTTGCTTTTAATACAGGTTTTTAAAAAAAGCGTATTTGGGTGCATTTAATGACTTTTGAACATTTTTTTTTTTAGTTCCCTTTCATAGCTAAATAGATGTAAAAGAAATACAAAGGATTTGTAGTATGTATTTCAGCTACATATGCAGAGGACTGAACTGCATGTCATAGTTGAAGCTGTATCCATAGAAAAATAGTAAGCCTAAATGTAGTTACTTTCTAGATTTTGGAGAAACTAAAAAATTTTTCAGGGGCTTTCATGTAAGCAGTTTTATCTGATGAAACTAAGATCTGTTACATTAAGTGTGACCTAAATACTGAACATAAGTGGATAAAAATTTTTTTCTTTGAGGTATGGCACAATAAGCCCTTTTCTAACTAAACATTGCATATCGACTCTAAGTGTCACCAACATGACAATCTTTGAAAGAATTGGAAATGGTATTTTTTAATGTTTTTCCAGTCTTTTATCTTTTATTTTACTTTATTTACTAAAGCTTAACTTTTAATGTTGCTTCAATTGAAGTATTAGTTTTCAATTTACTATGTCCTAAAAATTAAAAGTTAGCTTTAGTAATGTTAAATTATCACATACATTTTCATTTCCCCTTAGCTAAAGTGAGATAAAATTAATTGAATTTATATTTAGAATAAGATTTTTTAAATATTTATGATTTCTAGAGTTGTAAGACTTATAAAGTATTATGTAAATAATGTATTTGTAATCATATCAAGTGACATTTTTAAGATTGTTTATGCTTAATGTGTGAAGCTGAAATACTCTTAGAAGATGTCTATTATTTTTATTTTGCATTTCCATGTTTGTGGACCATAAAAAAATTGAAATTATCCTTCTGTTTTTATTATTAGGTTACTGATATTTGAGTTTATAAGCTCAAAATATTTTAGCTAAACATGTTCTATAGAAGTGTTTAATAAAAGTGTTTTTATTTTTTTTAAAAAATGAATAAATCTGGGTTGAAATCAACTGCCTAGTTTAGAAAATGTTTATGATTCCTCTGCAAACAATCCATTAAAGTAATCTCAGTATTTGTTTGATGGCAAATTTGGTATTTAATCTCACAGGCAGCAATGTTTTAGGCTTTTTCCAATTTAATATGCTTTCCAGAGTGGTTATTATTCTTCAACATGGTTACTTCAAAAGTAGCTTTTGCTTGTTAATGCTACAACATATTGGCTAAGTATTAGACCAAATACAGTTCTGTACTCAATCATGATATTAAAAGTGTGGGTTTTGACATTTAAATTACAATCCTATACATAGTTTCATGGGCAAGTAACTCAGAATAAAAGGTGAAACAGTCAACCTGAACTACTAGGTAAGAAGTGATGAACAGTCATTGTCACGTTAGTATTCATTGATTACTCGTGAATCTATAATTTTTAGTTCAATTGGGTGTCATTTAAAAGAGGGCTCTATTGTGCATTTGTCTCCAGAGTGACAATTTCCCAAGAGTTGGTTTTCCCAAATCAATAAATTATGGCGTTTTCTTTTGATAAACGGCACCTACTTTTATTTACCCTGTAGAGTACTACCTTGCCTGTACAAAACAAACCTCCGGATGGAGTTTAATAGATAATAGTTGTGAACCTAGGCTTGAAAATTAAACTTTGGGGAAATGTGTCAGTTGAGCACTAATTCTTGAAAATTTGAGGTTTTCATATTAATATTCTACACTAAAATTCTGGTCTTCATAGGACAAAGTAGTAGTACACCTTTTCCTCTGGCACTGTACACCAAAATTCACTTAAAGTATTGGGGTGCTAGTGGAAAAACACAGATTTGTCCCTTAGGGTAACAACAGTCATTAGAGCAAGTGGCACAAATTAATTATGTCTGTCTTAACATCTCAGAGACATCAGGTGGGAGAAATATATTTGGTGTTAGTTTAGCATTGAGTTAATTGTGTCCCACATAGCCAAGATAGAGGGGCAGGGCAAGTTGGACATCAGATCTTTTATCCAATAGTCTTAACTCATAGAATATTATCTGCCTATTTTCCTTCATGCCTGAAAATTTTGTATATCATTTATTATAAAAAGTGGCACTTTATTAAAATACTATTTTTTTTCTAAATTACCACCTTTTTTAGGAGTATATAGACAGGAAAATATTCCCAAATGTTTTTAAAGCTAATGTAGTTCAGATAACGAATTAATATAGCTTGCTTAAACAATTGGTTTAATTTAAAAATAGATTCTTTTTATCATAAATCATAAAATGAATATAAAATTAGGGTTGGTGTTTATCGTATACCAGTAAATATGTACATTATCCTATTTAATCCTCAACAGTAAATTTTGTAGGCAGCTATAACAAGTACTGTTTCCATTCACTATGTGAGGATCCAAAGCTAGTAAAATAGGAGACCAAAGATTTAGACTTCAGTAGTCTGACTTTCTTAATGTTCATTGGGTTAGGCCTTTTTCCCACTTAACTAATTTTCTATATGCATTCATTTAGAAGGTAGATTTTCACAAGATTGGAAAATCAAAGACCTGAAAACCCCCATTTTTCATACACTGTAAGACACTTACTTGCTTTTGTTTGTTTTTAATAGGGCTATCAACAGCCATTGGTACAGTTCCTGCTACTTAAGAGAATCTCAACAAATACTGAATGGATCACTTATTTCTGCTGGTAGGAATTATTTTTTTATACACATAATGATCAAACCATTAGTTTGAAGCAAAGTAATGTGACAGTGTTTTACATGGACTTAATAAAAGTTTGTTGAATATTGGTAGTTGAACTAGTAGTCAGTAGCATACCCAAGATGCTTATGTCCATTTCTGCACTTCACACAATTTACACTTCTAATTGCTATTTACACTTCTCTCTACTATTTTATGAGCTATATAAAAGGAGTATTCTACCAAAGAAGTGTTTATTTCAAGCATTCAGTACTAAAGAATAGTTATGATTAATATTAATTCATCAAAAGAGAGAAACTATGTCAACAGTTCTATAGAAGGCAACTAGTAAGAGAAAAAAATTGATGCCTAATTTGTTTTTTTAGAATTAGGGTTTAATTTATTAAGTGTATTTTCTTGCATTATTATACATTTTTGGACTATATTTAATTTACCCCCTTAGATGTCCCTTTGGTTTTCCCACCACTGTAGCACCCATCACCATAGTTCATTGTGCTGTTCCCTCCCGTTTTGACCTCTCTGTCTTCCCTGCTATATATCTCAGATCTATGATCAGCCTGCAGATTTTGTCTTTTTCCTCATCCTTTGGTTTCTTTATACTCGACAAGTAGGTGAAAGCTGCTGATTTTATCTTTTTCCTTCTGACTTATTATGCCGAGCACAGTGGAATTAGTTTTTATCATGCAAAATCAATGCTTTCCTCGATTTTCCCCTCCTATTTTACTATCTCAAACAGTTGGCATTTTGCCTATCTTGCCTTTATATCATCCATTTTAAATAGAAATAAAACAAAATTTCTATCGTTACTGACTGCATATATCATTGCAAAAGAGGAAAGTAGAAGGCACATCTCTTCCAAGTCCTTAAAGTTTCTATGGCAAAAATAATGAGCAGGGCCCTCCCTGGTGGTGCAGCGGGTTAAAGCACTGCACTAAGAAGCTAAAGCCACTTCAGCATGAGTTCGATCCCCACCTGCCCCGGAGGTGATCCACATGCCGCGGCAGACCTCTCCTGACCC